CTATCTTTACTATTGTCTATTTTGTTTTCTACATTCTATGCTATGATGCTTTTGACAATTGATGCTTATGACAAACTTCATGTCGATTGTTGCAAAAGAATATGTCTCAGATGTCAATAACGCTCATTATTTTAAATTGAATAACCTAATTTAATCATAAAATGCATTTCAAAAACATGTAAGCAAACCTAAAGTTTTGACAATGCTACTAGAAAACAACTTACATACTTTTTGTTCACTGCGATTTTTTCGGATATCTATTCTCATTTTTGACAAGTTTTCAATCTGAATACTTTGCTATACATTTTCGGATATTTGTTGTTTAAGATTGTCTTATTTTTAATTAAACAAAAAAAAAAGAAAGCTCAAGTTGAATCAGTGAGATTTCCAGACTACGGCCAAATTGGCCCCTGGCCTATTAATTCACATAGACCAACCTATTTCAAACATTCTGATCAAATTTTCGTGAACTCAAAATAGTTGAATCCTGTATTTGATGGAATTTGTGTTTTTATCATTAGATTTAGAATTATATTTGAGTGCTTTGTTAATTTTATTTCAGAAATTTGTAGATTTTACAGTTAATGTATAAATTTTATTGCCATTGTCTTGTTTCTGGCTTTTTGAATTTGAGGACACGCAGATACAAGATTTTTAAAGATTTTCAATGGCAGAGTGATTCAATTTTATTTGAACAATTTTTATTTTTGGTGTTGTAAAATGTACCAAAATATTTGATGATGCTGATTATGCTTGATGGTTTGATTTCTATAATGGTTGAATAATAAAATTTTCAATGTGTTGTTCCATGGCTATTGCAAGGGCGTATCATAGTAAACCAACTATGCATATCGAATACGGCTTACGTCTAAATATTATTGCGTCCTAACGGCGAAGTGTCGTTTATTTTTAATAGGCACTATTTCAATAGTAGGAAATGATTAATAATTGAAGATAAACCATAGATTATTCAATCCTAATAAAGTTTAGCAAACACAGTCACTGGCCTTTGCGAAGTACCTAAACAGGTACTAAACTAACTCTGCGACAAGCATTTTGTGAGGGTGGCTGATACAAAAGCCCTCCCTGATTTTTAACAGAATTTCCGTTGTTTTTTGTCTTAAAAACGAAATGTGAGCGAATATTCATAGTTTACTACAATTTATATTGTTGTTATGTTAGTAACTAAATCCAAAATACGACAGGCATCAAGAATTTTTCAACCTGCACACTTTTGAATCCGGTCGTAAATGTGAGCTTTAATTCTGTCTAATGGGTAATTGCACCCAAGACATTTTTATTCCCATATTCATTTGCAACTGTGTACTGTGCATTTGAAAATACTTTCGTTCCAGACTGAATCTTTATTTTAATCATAATTGACTTGGAATAACTTTGCACATTCTCAATTTATATTTTGCGTCTATCGATCGTTTTCTTAAGTTCCTGATGTTAAGTTTGAATCTACTAGAACGCTATTTCTTCATATTTTAAAAAAATTCTACATAGTTCTGCGATACCAAATATTTCTCTAAAATATATGTTTTCTTTACGAATATTTCTACACTTCGCAGCATCTCAAAAGACTTGGTCTGCCATATTTTTGAAAAAGCTGTCGCTTGCAGCTCAACTATACGACCATTCTGGTACCGACGTGGCTGTTATGGCGGCTGGCCATTTGCAATTTTGATTTAAATTTTTCGAGTTATCGGATTTCAGCGTAAATTCAATAATCTAGCCGTTGTTAGTCATTGGAACTTCATGTCCGTATTTTCAATCATTGCTATCGAAATTAATTTGCAAATACTGTGTAAATCGCAGATATTTTATTTCACGCGTCTTTATTAGGTTGAAATCTTCCAACATCGTGGCATCTAAACCGTTAGCCAAGTCTAATATGATTAAAATAAATGATTAAAATTTTGTCTAAAACAAAAAAAAATTCGGATGTACACGGCCATAGATTTAAATGTACTTATGTGCAAATGTACGTCAGATAAAATGCCCATGGATGCAAATACCCAAAGAGGCACCTTACCAGATAGAGAAAATGTTTGATGTTAAAGCGTAGGCTACATATAAGTGTTCAGCTTCAAATATTTATGCTGTTCAACCTATTTAGTTACTACGACAAATCTGATGAAAATTGTAAAAAAAATGTAGCATTCTTTTTTATTGACTTACTGTGACTGACTAAAAGTTATGATGGATATGTTATATCAGGTATACCTACACAAAAGTAGAAACGACAAACCTGTACCAAAATAGTGGGTACACTGATATATGAATATATTTTTCCATATAAAAATATTTTTATTCTTCAAATAAAAGAAAATAGAAAGATATATTAAAGATAACTCTAGCACAGGGGAGGACAATTAATTTTCTGAATGGGCCAGTTAAAGATATTAAATTTGATTACTGGGCTGAAGACTCAAAAGTCAATATAAAAAAATACCAATAAAAACCTTTTTTTTCACAACAGCCAGTCCAACAGCTGGGCTAACATTTATATAATAATAAGAACAACACAATATAACAATCGTGATCATTATGACAAAAATTTATATTCATAATAACCATAGTCGTAATTTTGTTAGGCACAAGTGGGCCGGATGAAACACTTTGGCCCGCGGGCTTTAGTTTGCCCGTGCTCAGGATATTACCATTTTGAAAGTTTCAATTCGATCAAAAACGCAGAAGCTAAATTTCGTTGCTTTTTCCGATTAGTATTCGAAAAAAAGTTTATAAAGTTTATGGCGTTTAAAATTTTGATCAAAGATAAAATTATGCACGTATTGCTCATACTTGCGCTATGAAATATCCATCGTTTTTTTTACAATTCATCTCCGTTTTCTCGTCAATCCAGTTGAAAATTGAAATTTCAAGAACACAAATGAAAATTTTCTTACGAACAAGTGGTCTTTAGTTTTGATACTCTATAAACTGGAAAGCCTTAAGAATTTGGTGAACATTAATGAAACTCATCTCTATGAGACACTTATTCTCGGACGTTCTATATTTTTATCTCAAAATGAACCGGCAGTTTCAGTGACCCTATTTGTAGCATCATTCAAAATTTCATACATTTGACAAAATGCAAAAAATAAAAACTGTCTGAAAATAATCGCTTTGTTGAAATGGTTGAAAATCTAAAAAGAAAACTTTTATGTGAGTATTCTCGAGCCTTATCGAAATCCAGAAACAAGACGATGTCAAAAAATTGTGTAAAAACTATTGAGACAACATGTGAGTTGGATATGTGACGTACTTATCATGAAAACCATAATTGTTTCAATACACGTCAATCACCGTTCAATCAAACCGGTTAGGTTAGTAGAGTCAGAGCAAGCAAATGATGAATATTTCTCATTTCATTCTTCCTGCGTGGTATACCGCGTCAAACATTTTGACTTACTCGGTTATTTAGGAGTATCGAACATATTGAATTAATCTCTAGATCTATTGCAATCCAGATCAATACAATCACGTCGGCAATGTAAAAATTGGTAAAAGCTACCGCCGTGTCCCGGGGTTGAACAACTTTTAATTGATGCTTTCTATGTTTTGAGTCCGTACATGGATATTAGTGAATCTATCTTAAGTGTTGAGGCTAAACACCTTAAATCATGCATATTACTATTAAACTATGATCTTCATGATATATTCATCAATTGATTATAAAATAAAATATGTTACGGGCATTTTATGTATATTGCATTTAGGGTTTATTGAAATTCATTTGAAGGAAAAGACATAATAATATTAATAATAATAATAATCAAAAAATTAAATTTATTGCCTGAACCTCCTAAAATTTGTGAAATTGAATTACAAACCACTCCAACCAATTATCAATTCGAACTCACAGGTCGTGTACAACTAAGAGGCAATCCAGCAAAAGATGATTTCAATAATTCGAAAATCTTGAAAAACTTAGTTTACCTCAGAAGAAATTATTAATTTCACTAGCATGATAATGAAATTGAGAATATTTATCTCCGTGCTCTGACCTAATCAGTATGATTGAAATATGATTGACGTTAATTGAAGGAATAAAGGTGTTCATATCAAGTACGTCACGTCAATTAGTCAATCCGCACAAGTATATTATAATGTGGAATATAATGTAAAAAATCTGATATATTCCTATTTATCATCATGATCATGATATTCTTCAGGCAAGCATTGGCCATTTAAATCCTTTTTTAGCTTGAGTATCAAGGAAGTAATGTGTAACATATTCGGTAACTAGTTTTTAATTGCTTTTCACAAAATAGTTGTTTCGTGTCCCACCTTTGACGCATTGATAATACGAATTTTTAGAATCATTATTGTACTTTAGGCTATAATTCAAAACAATTAAAGTTTTCAGTTAGTTTGATATATGCACGGCCATATGACTAAGAATATATATTATCCAATGTCATTATTATGGTTTTGTCTCCCACTCATGAGATTACTAAAAATATTTACGCGTGATTTGTCCTAATGTTTGCGTGTACAGTTGACTAATTCTAATGGATGCTGTAATCCTCTATAAATGGTTATCGGAACCAACACTTCGTTCAGTTAGGAAGAAGATCATTCCTCAAAGCGTTAATATAAAAATGGAACGTTATGTGAATGGTCAAAGTGAAAATGCATATGAAACTCCACACACTGTTTCAGCGCCAGCTGTGGTTCCTAAACAAGGTTTGTATTTTATTAGATTAACATAAATTCTGATCTGTAATATAATGAAAGAAAAATAAAAATAGTGTCATTGGGTAAACAGACATGGTAAAACTTATCCAGCTGTTAAAAATTAAAATATCATATTTCCCACGTAAAATGTTCCATTTTACAGGTATGCCGTGTTAAATTTTAATTCACTATTTTTACGTGGAATAAAAATTGATTAATTTTTTTACCTCATGAAATCTTATTTTCAAATATGTTTTAAACACGTTTTCTTTTCTCAGACAGCAATAAAGCTACGTGCAAGCATTTTTTTTTTGTTGTCGCGATATCTTTTGGAATATGCTTCTCTTTGTTTGTGGCTGCATTTATCCTGATTATGCAAGTTAGTTAGTACTGCAAATTAAATTGAGCCTACTGTTTTATATAATATAAATCAAATTAAAATATACGTATTGAATGAAAAAATTTTTGTTTTCTATATTTATAATAATCCAGTTTATTTGAAATATACAAATTTATTTCAAGTTCCAGAACGAGATGAAACATATGAGAAAAAAAATGGACAAAATGAGTCAGATTGATTCATCTCTCGTCAGCAATATAAGCGGCACTCAAAAAGGTAAGATACGTTGATTTCGGTCAAAACATGCAATTGTATATTAGCATTAAATACATTTTTTAATTTAAGAACAACTAGAAACTTTCAAAAAGTTGACAACACAGTTGAATTCTTCTCTTGCGAAGATTTCGAATGAAACACAAGAGAGTAAGTTTATTATAATAATATGTTATTAACTAGGCATTGCATTTCAAAAGCTTGGAAACGACACTCATAACGTAGGTTATTTGAAATTTCCATAGAAATTTGCCAATGGTATATCAATGAAGTTTATCATTTGTTTTATAACTTAAAATATTCGAGACATGTAAAAAAAATAGCTACGCATTTCAATTCCTTCCTCCCCAAAATTTACAAGAAAACACAAAAGAGTAAGTTCATATTTCAGATATTTGAACTTTGCATCGAGTTTTTGTTTCAAGTTCATTGAAGTAAAAACCATACATAAAATTTAAAAAACGATATAAATGGTAATATAGGCTGGTCACCTGACCTCTCTGGCGCTTTAGAATTAAAGTAAGTTATATTAAAAGCCTCAGTAAAAATGTTACTGCGTGAGATCAGAAAATGTGATTAGTTGCGTAATTTATTGTTTTTGAATAAACATTCAGCTTCTTCAAGTATAAAAAATCAGTTGAAAAATATGAAGAATGAAGTGAGCCAACTTGACTCCAAAATATTCATCGGAGATAACAAATTGGTGAGTTTAACTTTAAACAACAGGGTCCAAATATGTTCGCCTATCTATAATTTTTTTTATATGAATATTATTTCTGCACGATAAGCATAACAAAATAAAATATAGTTCTTTATGTTGCATATAGTTATAAGGGAACATAAAAACACTTAAAAATGTAGTTCTATTCCATACTTATTTTACTTCACAGAAAGCAAGCATGACTGAAGCAAATTCGAGGATGAACAGAATGTTTTCAATATCTGGGTGGTTCAGAGCAAGCAATAATCTCATATACAAACGCTTTACTGATTCTGTCAACTACGCTACTGCAAAGGCTCAATGTGAAGGAATGGGAGCTCGTTTGGTATCGACTGGAATTAGGAACAACCTAGTGAAAAAGTAAGTTAGTTGATTGCGTTTGTCAAGTTTAAAAAAAAAGCTAAATATGTTTGTTTTTTGGACTTATAAATGTAGTATTAAAGCAAAAATAGCTTTTATTGAATGCTGAAAAATGCTTTCGAAAAAGTTTTAATAGATCAAAATGTTAACTACTTCGCTAAAGCTATTACTTTGTTTTGAATTTTGTTGTGTTAAGAACATTAGTAGTTTTCTTGGCGTGAAGTTTCAATCAATCATCAGTATCTCTAGATTTTTGCAGTTCCGATGGAAAGTAATGTTAGAATAAAACTAAAGATGTAGCCTACTTGAATTTGACCTATAGATGTTAAAACTAGTGACGTAAAAGCCTCTACTTTCTACATTAATTTGTAAACTAAATACCAAATCCTTCAAAATGTTTCTCGTTTATATGGAAAGTGTAGAAGAACATCGTTCAAAACTTAGTTCACAATTATATTCAAAACATTTTTTTTTAAATTTCGTAGAACGTTTTTTCCACAAATTCTGCTAATGTCAAGACGAAATAGCTTGAGTTTCCACTTATTAGTTTTGGCGAGATGAAGAAACGCGTACGTTGCGTATTGAAACAAGTCGAAATTAATATTTCATAACGATAAAACGTACATATATATTTAAACTAGATTATATGATTGGGATTTTTCTACCTATGTATTTAAAACTGTATTATATGATTAGGATTTCTCTATAAATGAAGCTCTAACTGTCAGCAGTTATCATTTTTTTTATCTTCCTAGGGAAATATTCTCGAAACACTACTTAACCGGAGCGAATGCATGGATAGGATTGGACGACATAAATAATGAAGGAATTTGGGTTTGGTCGGATGGAATAAATAATTCACCAAGCGCGATATGGGCACCAGGGGAACCAACCGGAGGTTTAAACGAAGACTGCGCGATCATGATATTGCAGAATTCCAAACTTGTTGTTTACGATGGTGGCTGTACTGGTTCCTATCGATTTGTTTGCGAAAAAGACTTTGCATGATATTTCTAAAATTTCATTTTCCTTAATTTGAGTTTTTTGATAATCTAGTCAAATCAGTTCAAATTAATCATTTAAGAAACGTAAGCGCATTTCACTGTTCCACCGCTCAATCGTTTCACGAAAATATATTGTTCCATTTTATTGCAAAAATATTGTTTCATATTGTAATCTACCTTGATGTGTGTTTAACAATCAGCGAGAAATCAACACGCTCAGACAGACACGCCACAAAGGTTTTCGCCGGTGAGAAAATAGTCCGCGACCAAAAAAGGTTGGGAAACGCTGGACTAGAGCCTCATGTCTTTTAAAAATTTGTACAATTGTTTGTGATGAGACCTAAATATTCACCATTGATTGATGTGTTTCCCAATATTGTTCAGTTAGTAGGATTACACAAGTGTTAAATACTTAGATCTAAATTAGAGATCTAAGAGCAGCAAAAATAAACATTAGGATCAAATTACAAACAATTCAAATCGCACTACAAATAGAAACAAAAGTCAGCGAAGTTGACATAGTACAGCCACTACATCACTATGCTACCCCTTAAGCACTAATAGGAATTACATAGACATAGACTAGCTATAGACATTAAATATATAAAATATATCTGTTTCATAGTCACATAATAACTAATGTTACAATCTTAACATTAATTTAATGTGCCAGGACATCCATTTAATCATTGACCATTTATGCGGCAAGTTCGGAATTCATATAAGACCAGGAGTATTATTTTTAAAAAGCATATCTGGCATTCATAATGATATACAACCGAAAACAGGTAATATTTGAGTAAACCATTTCAATGAAAAGAAATCATTACATTTTACCAAATGTAGCCTTATTTTTCGCAATCTAATTTTTTGTTTTGCCACAAAACAAGATTTGAACAGTAAAATTATAAACATCATAAAATACATAAAAGTACGGTATTCATTTCTGATTTCCGATTTGAAGTCTTTATTACGCTCTGAGAGTGCTACCTGATGCTATTACTCTGTATGTTCTAAAGATTTTGAGATACAAAAAGAAATTTTGAATTTCCTGGTTATACTTTTTAGTTTTATTCTACTGTAAGGTGAAGATCTGTGACTGAGACGATAAAATATCAGATTAGAAACTTGATGTAGGTGAAATATTTTAAAGAATGCATTAACTGAGATTGTGGTTTCTTTTGCTACAAGTTTCTATCTATAAATTTCGCATTTGTTAAATTTTATTTCACCTAGTTATTCCTCTATAACTTGACTCAATTTTTTTTAACCATCAATCTTCTGGCCTCTATGTTATAAGGTGAATCAATATAGAATTTAATGTCAGTAGTTATTTGTAGCTTTTCATTTATGATCGTCTTATATAACATTCATGTCTAAGGGATGTTATAAGTGGGTCAGCTGCCAAAGCCATATTCACCTCTAATAACGGTATTCTAAAAACTTAATTTTCATCATTAGAAATTTAATTAGATATTGAATCTTGGGAGTTGCTGTTCGAAAACCAATCTTGGTTCCCCTTCTCCAGTGAATGTGTGATTAATTTTATTTTTTGTCAATTTCTTATGTTATTTTTTACTAGATGGAAAAAATACTTGACTATCGACTACCTTCTATGAGTAATCTCTTCACTTTGAGCAAATTTTTTTCTCTTTTTTCAGAGCTACTGAATATCTGGAAAAACTACAGTTTTACAGAACAAAAGAATAGACAAGCCTTCAACAATAAATATGATAGATTGATATTTTATATAAATCCCATTGATTTTACTTTGGATTAATGTGGCCATGTATGTATTGTTATTTGAGGCAATCAGGTGGACAAAAACCAATTTCACTCTTGACTCTTTACATCTTCGGTGGTAGCTAAGTTAAAATTCTCAAACATTTAACAATGTTTCTACTTAGAAATGTTGTTTATCGAAAGGGAATCTTGAGAGAATCTCAGTCTACATTTGAATTGGTGCAGAGCAAAAAGGAAATGGGTTACAATCAAAAAATAAATAAACGTTGTGGACCTATTGTTTCTGCATTCTAGTGTTTATTATATTAATTTTTCAGTTTATTAAATGCTTTCAAATTTATTGTTTCTAACTTGAGACATCGAAGGTATACTCTTTCCATTTACCGCATGAAAATGTAAAATAAAATTTGAAATTAGATGTTAAAAGTGAAATACATTCTATGATGCTTTTGAGTTTTGACAATTGATGCTTATGACAAACTTCACGTCGATGTTTACAAAAGCTTTTGTTTCAGATGTACATTACCCTTGAATTGAGTTATCTTGTTTAAGCACAAAATGCACTTCAAATGCTGTACGTACACCTAAAGTTTTGACAATACTACAAGAAATAAACTCATATACATATATTACTTACTTTTTTGTTCACCGCAATATTAGATATCTATTTTCATCCCTAACACGTTTAAAAATGGAACATAATATACACAATCTTTATACTTGTTAACTCATGTTTTATAAATGAAGAAGCTGAAAATTTATTCGAAAAGATAAAAGTAGGTAACTATGTTATTAGATCGCGGGTAATAGTTTTTTTTCACTGGATTATTATATTAGACTTTGATTCTGACGTGTCATTCAAATGTATCGAATATTTATATGTTGTAAAACAAATGTTAAACTAAATTGACATATCATTGGCAAATTTCCGTCAAAAGTTTAAATGAATTACGTTTTGGAGTGTCGTTTCCAAGCTTTGAAAATGCCATGCATAGTTATTAACATATGATTGAAATGTGATTGGCGTGTATTGAATCAATTGAGATTTTCATATCAAGTACGTGATACCGTCACATGTAACATGCTACTAGATGCTGAACCGCTATTAATTCATATTTGTAATCACAATATACACAAGACATTGGTTATTTAAAAACACGTATTCGTTTAAACTTCAAGGAAGCAATGTGTCACATATACTCTCACTGGTTCTGTTTTTTCATGGCCCAACTTTGATGCTGTGTCATTTATCGGAAATTTACATAATCAGGAATACATCTTGAAGTATAATTTAAAACAGATATTGTTATTTGACGCATGCATAGCTTTATTACATTATGTAGTATATATTGTATTATATTGCGTATATATTAATTTGTGTTATAATGGTTTTGCCACCCACTGATAATAATAATATCGCAATTACGTTGATAAATTTTATTTGACGTGTAATGTTAGCTGATTAATTTATGTTAGCTGCTAATTCTCTATAAAGCCGATAGCGACAACGAAACGCTGCGTTTGAGAAGCAGAACATTTTATAAAGCGGTAATATTGAGATGGAATCTTATTCAAATTGATAGAGTTAAAATGTGTATGAATTTTCTCAGACTTCTGCTTCTGCGCCACCTGCGATTCCAAAGCAAGGTTTGTGTTTTATTTGATTTACGCAAAATTTAATTTGGTAAATTACAATGGGAAATCTAGATATAATTTTTAAACACTTTTGATAACAAAGTATATTCCCGTTTTTCATTTAAAATAAAACCAATGCAATAACACCTCCATCCGAGTAAAAAATTAGACCAGCACTTTCAGCATAAAAAAAAAACCATTTTTGAGCAATGCCATAAAAAAATTGCTAAATTGCTGTCTTCTCTTCTCTCTTACGACATTCCATAATTGAAAGTTTACATATATTTATTCTCTTTTCATAGACAACAACATAATCTTACAAGGATGTTAAACTACTAATGACATGCGTGATTTAAAAAAATAAAAAATAAATAACGTAGATTTACTGCATCTATAAAGGTTGTTGTTAATATGGAAAATATAGCTATTTCCCACTAGACAAAATGTTTCAAAGATTTTGAGTAGCCAAAGACGAAAATGCTTCCCAAAAGCCTAATAATACTCCATACTTTTCTGTATTAATATCATACTCATTGTGTATAAAGTTTCAATTTGATTTCGGCAAGATGAAGGATTGTTGCCAATGAAGATTCTTGTACAAGTGTTCATCGTTTTGTTTGCGTAAGGGAATTTCAATATTATTGTTTTTTTTGAATGAAATTTATTTTCTCAAAACTTGGCTTGCTTGTCTTTTTAGTTATTGTTTAATACTGAAATTGTATTCATTTTCTCTTTGAAGATAAGGGAAAGCTGGGGTATTAGAGAATATGTGCATTTTCTTTTATTTAAATTTTTTCCTTATTCTTTTGTCATTTTATAATTGTTCCTCGACCCTATTATCTCCGATTAATGACCATGGAATCATACTTTTCGGCATTTTCATATTCGACTGGCAAATTTGTTATTACACGTTGAAAGCGTTTAGTTGAATCGGTTAATAAACAATTGTTGAAAGAAATTGAATGAAATTGAGCTACGAACTGAACTGTCTTTCTCGCATTCTACAATTCATTCGATAATGTTTTTGACAATTGATGATTGTGACTAAGGTAATCATGATGTTCAAATAGGAATTTGTTTCAGATCTCACCACTCTTTTTTTTGAATTGAGATGCGCTTCGAAGATTGGACCTCAAACCTAAAGTTTTTATAATACTACCAGAAAAAAACAACTTACCGTTTTTGCTCGTTTTATAGCCCGGGCCCATATTTTTTTCAACCAACTCACTAACCGGGCCCTTGTTCAAACCGGCCCTTATTCAAGCACGGGCGCTTGTTATTTTGTTATTTTCGATTGTTACAATAATTAAACTATTGTTATTTCCAGTTTCCAAGTATGATTTAAACGAGAATAACGAAAAGTTTGACTTTTTCCACGCCCCGCAGGTACAAATCCGCAAAAGAAGAAAAGTTTTGCGACGCCCTATCAATATTGAAACGACGCACTTGGGCATCGCGACGCCAAGTTTGAGAACCATGATGTTATGTAATCAGGCGCGTAGCCAGGAATTTCAAAAGGGAGTGGTTTTTAAAATCGGATATTCCAATTACCGTGTGTAACAGTCACGGCGATTACGTGCTTGTTAAAAGAGCCGCCTTTTCAGCGTAACTAAGAAATTCGAAAATGTCCTTATATATTAAATCAATTGTGTCCAACGTAACTAGCGGTTGCGACTTCTTACGTCAAAATAAAAACATTACTTCTCTAAAATA